GAGGAAGCTTCCGGAAGCTCCGGTGCAGACGAATGAGGAATTTACTTTCGAGACGGGCCCAAAGGAGGAGCTAAGGCCTCCATCTCCCATGCGTTCGTTCACAGAAGCCGAGGTGCTTTCGACAGTGATGAAGAAGCTGGGAGAGCTCGAGGAGAAAGTGGGGTTGTTGGAATCGAGGCCTTCTGCAATGCCGTGCGAGAAAGAGGAACTACTCAATGCAGCCGTTTATCGGGTGGATGCTCTCGAGGCCGAGTTGATTGCCACCAAAAAGGTCTGTTTATGCTCTTTTTGGCTGTTCGTTTGGATTTTTTTAAAGCAAAATTGTCCTTGGATCTTTTTCGAAATTGCAATTTAATTATGACATTCACATTTGCAAGTTATATATCACAATTTTTCGGTTTGTTGCAAATCGGTGCAGTGATTTACAAAAATCCGTGCAAATTATATCACAATCTTTAGTTTGTTCTCGACCACATCAATTCTTTGCAACAAATTGAAGACTATGATATAATTTGCAAAAGTGGAAAGGTCGGGCTTAAATTGCAATTTCGAAAATTACGTGATATTAGGGGCAATTTTGCCATTATTATTATTATTATTATTATTATTATTATTATTATTATTATTATTATTATTATTATTTCATTTTTTATTTTTTCCTGCTGAGGATTTATGTCCATTTAGAAAGAAATTAACAGAAGTGATGAACCTATATTTTTCGTAATGAGAAGTAAAAAAACCAAGAAACTAAAAAAATTCTGAAAGACGAAATAATTGATTTCAATCGAAATAAAACACTACGAAGTTCTTAAATATGTAAAACCCTCATAGTTGAAAAAAGAACTGATATTTTTGTTAGGTTACACAAGTATTTGCCTTGGTGTTGTAGGCAATGATTGCCAAAATTTGTGATTTATAGAAGAAATGGATGGATTATTGTAGTATAAGCTAAAAATATTATAATTACCCAAAAACTAGTAGTACAGTAATACCAAAAAGGTCTATTTATGCTCTTTTGCTGTTTGGCAGGATTATTATTATTATTATTTTATTATTATTATTTTTTTATTATTTCTTTTTGTGCCGAGGATTTACGTCCATTTAAAAAGAATTTAACAAAAGTGCCAAGAAATAGATTAATTTGAAGATAACAATAGTGCTAAGAAATAGATTAATCTGCAGATAATAACTGATAGGTAAAAAATAGAACCTAAGAAACTAGAAGATGGAATCCTAAGTTATTTTAAAGAAAAACAACACTCCGAAAGAATATGAAAGATGAAAATAAATCAAAACAAAACCCTATGAAGTTCTTAAAACAATACAAAGAAAGAAAATTATTAGCCTGTGTATGTAAAACCCTCAATATTGAAAATGAAAAAAAAAAAGAACCGATTATTTTGTCAGGTAACACAAGTATTTGCCTTGCATAGACGATGATTGACAGAAATTATGATTTCTCGAAATGGATAGTTAATTTTAGCAGAAGCTAAAAATAGACTAGAATTAACCAAAAACTTCTAGTACAATAAGAATATGCAAATCTTTCCGAATAAAATTAACAATATCTACAATATGGTGACTTTTCATAGAGTCCCAAAGATGTGTTGACATTGGAATGGAAATCATCAGTCCATAAGTTAAAATCTCCTGAAATTATAATTGATTTATGTGTTTTTTTCGAAGAATATTATTTATACCAACATATTTCCGAACAAATGCAAACGAGAGTAAATTTCATCCTCTGTACAGGCCTTATACGAGGCCCTGATGAAACAAGAGGAGCTGCTGGCTTACATAGACAGTCAAGAAGAAGCGAAGTACCGGGTAATTGACCTTAATTTTATCACTTTTTTTTTTTTTTTTTGGTTCTGTTAATGGATAAGTGTTAATTACATTTAAGTCTTAACAGTTCTCTTCCAAAATTTACAAATACTCCCGAGCAAAGTACATTTTTTGGTTTTTGTTACCCATAGAATTCACTTAATCTCATGCTATATTTCCACTTACGTTCGCCAATATTTCGTTTTTGTCCAGAAGAAGAAGTTTTGCTGGTGAGACGTGTCGAGGTTTGGAATCTGAGGCTGTAATCGAGGCTCGTCAACTGAAAACTCTAATTCAGTGTTGAGTTGTGAATTTAAATGTACATTTCATCGATCATCGATGATGGAAAAAAAAAACTTAATATTGCAAGAATTTTATACTGAACTTATATATGCAATGCCCAAAATATTCCATTTGTGTGATTTAAGATTTCTTTAAATGACTTTTTGGATGATGTTTTCAGTAACTTTGTTGGTGTGATTTGATTTTGAAACTTAGAAAATTATTTTTTGTACTATTTTATATTATTGATAGCTTCAAGCCTTTCACTGTCTCATTTTTTAATGTTCCATAAACAAAAAAGATTGTGTTCCTAAATATCGGATGGACCGAAAATTTCATTTTTAAATTTTCTTTGCAGGCAGCGTTACATCAAACTATTTTTTCTCCAACCATTAGACATTTTCAAATTTAAAAGAATATTTTTGAAATATTCTCATTTTCACCGATTTTAATACTTTCTCACAAATTAGGCCATGCTATTAATTTAGTGATATTATTTTTAATATTTTTTTAAAGAAAATACTTATCATTGTTATTGCTACAACTAAATATTTGTCATAGTAAAATATAGTAAAAAACTGGCTAAGGTTGTAGATTTTCTGAAAAAATTAAAATTTGAATTGTGTTGTATTGATACATCTTTAACCAACACAGAATAAAAGCACAGTCGAAATTTAGCATCATATTTTTCATTTTTTTTTTTTTGGTCGTTAAATAAATTTGTATTGATCAAAATTGAAAGTCATACAACCGAGGCAACTTTCAAGAGCGTAGTAGGTAAGCATAAGTCGGTTCCTCACTTGCAAGAACAAAAATAACGAGAACAAAAATTTACCATCATATTTTTCATTTATTTCAGTAGTTATAACTTGACCAGGGAAAAAAACTCACAACTCACAGCAATATCAATATGCTTTTCACCAACAGCATAATAACAATAATAATAATAATAATAATAATAATAATAATAATAATAATAATAATAATAATAATAAAATACGATGATTCATGTAGAATAACATCAGACAAAAAAATGGAGAAAACTCAGTCATCCAAGTGAGAAAAAGAAGAGTTTCTTACTGCAGGCAACAATTTTATTTTATTTTATTTTTTTTTTTTAAAATATATATTGTAGTCTTAAAAACATAAGCCGAAGAATGGTTTCAGCTTGTCAATGGTTGCTCAATAGTACATACAACACAAAAACAATCACTTCACACTCTAATACAAACAGCAAACCTCGTAATTTACAGAAACAGCTTTGAAAACGCGATCACTAAGGCAATTTATAATCGCTATAGACGAACACAGAGCAAACATCTTATACCGCGCAAACACGTTTTTTTTTTTTCAACCTCAGAAAGCAAAGAACTTCTTTTTCTTCTTCTTTTTCTCAATG